GGTGCTGGGGCGTACCGGGCTCCCGCGGCCTTGGCGCAGGCACCTGGGCTCTGCGTCCTCCGAACCGTCTCCTCTCTTCTGGAGAGCCAAACGCGCCGACTGGCGGGACCTCGTCTCGCCAGCGTGTTCGCGCTGTCCGAGGGAGTTAGCTGAGCGCAAAACCCAGGGGCAGCACCCGATGGAGCCCCGCGGGTCGCTAGGCAGCATGGGGACAGAGGGTGTTACCTTCGCTCTGACACTTAAAACCTCGGTCCTTAATTTTTGTTTTTAAGTGATGCTGCATGCCCGTTTTGCTGCTGGGACAGGGCTAAGCGTAGCACGGTTCAGAGATCTCACCCAGAGCTTGAGCCTTTGGAGCATGAAACACTGTCCAGCAAACCGTCCCGGGGCGCCTGCCTTCCCCCTGCAAGACGGGACCAACGTTAGCACCTCTGGAAATGGCACCAGGTGCCAAATTACATGAGTAACCGTTAGGCTGACTTGTTAGTGACAATCACCAGTGATGAATTTTTGGCTGATTTCCCTTTTCCCTTCCAGGCTGGTTTTTGGCTTGGGCTTGCAGAGGGTGCGATATTGCCTTGCTCACGGCTCGGGGCTGTGCCGGAGGCAGTTGGCCCCAGCGAGCCCCAGCTGCGCGGGGCCGCCCGGCTCCGGGAAGCCAGGCTTGCAGGGGTTGCCTCCCAGAGCAGTTGCGAAAGCTCCTGGTTTGGGCGGTGATGTCAACACTGGGTTTTGTCTGCTGGTTTTTGTCGCTCGTGGGTGCACCGGGCGTCGTGCCTGCTCGCTGCGGGGCGCAGCGGGGTCCCTTCCCCGTCCCCTGACCGGCCGTCTCCCCTTGGGTGAGATGGGGGGTGGATGTAGGTCACTCGAGGAGGAGTGTGAAGCTAAGCCTGTGCCCTGCCCCACATTGCTGAATCTTCTTTTTAATCTTCCAGCTCCAGCCAGCGCTTTAATTGGCGCGTAAGCTTTGGGCCTTAGTAGCCTGGGTTTATCCTGTAGGAAGCCAGGCGTCGATGGTAAGCCTGTATGTGTAAATACTACAGAAGAGAGTGTCTGCTTAAATAAAGCAAACCGCCTTATTATAGCGCTGACCTTGAGTTATTTTGGAGCAGTGGAGGAAGGTGAAGGTTGTCTTCTTGGGGAGATCTCGCAAAGGGAGCGAAGGTAGCTGGGATTTGCTGTGCGCCGCTTGCTCCGGCGCACGGAGCTGGCGCTTTGCTGGCGTGGGGGAGAAGTTGGCTCCTTCCTGGGTCTAGGAAGATCAACGCTGCCGGCTGGACAGTGCCCGACTGCGATGGGAATTGCCTAAATATGAGTTGGGGGCTGTGGCAGTGGGCAGGCACTTCTGCCTCCCAGTATCCGGGAGGAAGACTGTTTTCCTTTCTGGTAACACCTTTCCCAGGCGCACAGCCACCTCCGACGGTTGCTCTACTTCAGGTCGTTCTCTCTATCTGCTTCCTTCACATCACGCTTTTTCTCTTGTTTTCCTCCAGCTTTGGCAGAGATCTGAATTGTTTCCCTACCTTTTCTGTGGGACAGAGAGGCTGAGAGCGTGCCGGCATGGCAGGTACAGAGGTCTCCGGCTCGGCTCTTCCCGTGTCTTGCCTATGAAAGGGCCTGGGGCTCCGTTCACCGTAATGCTTTGGCCTTTGCAACCCTGTTAGTCCTCGGTGGGATTGCAGATGTCCGAGCTTGGCCGGGCAGGATCCGTCCAGCCACGCGGGCAGAAGTTGCGTTGCTCTAAAGCTGTGGGTGGGCTGCTGGTGACAGAGGGGGAAATCTTTATTTTCTGTTTGAAACTAGTCAGTTCTGGGGGTTAAATAAAGTTAACCAGACAGACGCGGGATTTGTCTTCCGTTCCCTGCAGTAATCAGCACTGATGAAACTTTGTTGCAGAAAAAGTGAACAACTTCCCTCCCCTCCCGAGGTTCATCCCTCTGAAGCCATGTTTCTACCAGGACTTTGACGCGGAAATCCCACCGCAGCACCGTACCATGGCCAAGCGGCTTTACTACCTCTGGATGCGTGAGTCGGTGGGCCCGGCCGTGCTGGCGGGAGGGCTCGGACGGGTTGTGTCCACCTGCCTGAAGGCGGCTGCTTCTCTGGAAATCACCAGCTCACGCAAGAGCAGGGGAGAAGCGTCGCTCAGCCCCTTTGCCCCTCCGTGCCTCTCGCTCTGGTTCGAAGCCTTTCAGAAATGTCTTAGGGAGGGGATGGGGGCTGCAGTATCCTACTCCAAATCCCACCCGTAAGAGTGGGTTTATGGCCGGATGCGTGGATCTGGCTGCCCAGCTCCCTCGGGCCTGAACTTCTGTGCTGTGCCCACCCATGACCACGGCTTCCCACCGCAGCCCGCTCCAAGGGGGAACGGCCCCAGCAACCGTCTTTCCTCTTGCTGAAAGATTTACTTGCCTCTCTGTCCTGCTCCGCTACCAGCCTCATCACCCAGGGAAGAGCCAGAGCCGCCTCTGGTTTCCTTCTGCCCCTTGGCTAAGGAAGGGCCTTTCCCGTCGCCCCAAGCTGGTCGGGACCCCTAAGTTAGCTCCCGAGAGCTGTTGAGCACCGGGGCTCTGTAGTAGTCCCTGACCCTAAGCTGAACGCAGCCCAAAGCCGTATACGTGGGCTGGGTTCCTGGCAGGGGTCCGCGGGGGCGGCGAGCGGCCTCGCTCAGGCAGCGTGCCGGCTCCCCGAGGTACGGCAGCTCGAGGCTTTTCCCAGCGCCGCGTCTTGCCTGTTCCTCTCGTGTGCTCCTGCGTGGTGTGCTGCGCTCCGCGCTGAGCGAGCCGTCGCGGTTTCTAACTCCTTACGCCAGCCGGGATCTCTCTCCCTTCCCAGTTTCCCCCCCCCCCCCCCGGGCCGGGAGCACAGCTAGAGGGAGGCGGC